GTTATCTGAAAGTATTGCAAGAACAAAGAACGCTGATTTAACGCTGATCTAACGCTGATCTGTAATCTCCAATCTGTAATCTGTAATCTGTAATCGTACAAACGAACCTCGAAAAACTAGCGAAAATGGCAGAGTCGCCGAGCGGTTAGTGTGTCTCAAATTTAAAGCATGGTAAAAAAAAATTAACGAAAAACGTTTCCAATCAAAATCAACTTTTCTGTCATAGGAAATCATGGTAATTTCAATTTTATAAACAACCAAAAGAGAATGAATGACTGGGGTTGTCGGGTTAAACAGAAAATGTCGAGTTGCTATAATTTTGATCAACCCTGTATGCTGGAATATAAAGCAACAGCAAGCGCACTTGCAAAGTTCGCTAACTTTTACTTAGCTAGATCAAATTTGTTAGAACTTTGTGAGTTCGGTTTACAATGAAACCAAGTTAGTTCTGTAATAGCAGAACCAGCAGGCAAGGCTAGAGAAGACTCAGAAGCTACACTACTGGACAATGAAATATCATACAGTGGAACCTCTCTATAACGTAACTCACGGGACGGCTATAGCTTACGTTATATAGAGGTTTACGTTATATAGAGTGCCGTTTTATATAGCTTAACGTCGGCCGGGACCGGTCACGCCTTACGTTATAGAGAGGTTTACGTTATATCGAGGTTCGTTATAGAGAGGTTCGACTGTATTTGAAAAACGATCGTCACTTTCGCGCGTCTGTAACTCCCTTGACTTTACCGTATTTCTAAATATTAATATTACCATTGTGTAGCCCTTGAAAAGAGCTTTCAGAAAATGTATAACACTAATAGTTTAAACTCAAAGACAAGGGAGTTACAGACGCGCGAAAGTGACGATCGTTTTTCACATATGATATTTCATTGTCCAGTACTGTAGATTAGTGACTTAACTTCTGGACTTGACTTTGGAAAACCCATCCTTTTCTTGTGAGAAAACCCATCCTTTCTTGTTAAACATTAGTCCTTTCCACTAATTTCTTTAAAAGTCATTTAAAATGAAATAAGGTGGCTAAGTAGAAAGCTTTTTATTATTCAATAAGGAAAGCGAACAAAAATCCCTCAGCTACAGTAGGGTGAGTTGATTTGAAAAAAAAAACGTGGAAGTATAAGTGGAGTGAAAAGAAAATAGGTACAGACCATAAAGTTCTGGCTCAAGAAAAAAGTGAGTGAAGAGGTGATTTGTGTGATCTTTTCCTTCTCCCACCCTTTTCCCTTCATCGAATCTTTTGGGTCCATCGGCAAACCACCAAAAAAATTTCTCTATTTGTCGAAAAATCTTTTCCCTTCTTCAGAAGAAAACCCCTAACGGTTTTTGTCGCCGATCAGCGAAGGTGGATTGAGGAATTGATGTGATTTTTGATGAAAGAGAAACTCTACAAAAACGAGATCGAGCTCTGAACAAAAGAGCAAAAACAAAGCTCTCCAAGATAGCAAGATAGACTAATAAGTTACCGAATTTCTCAAAAAGTTTAGAGCAATCAAATCCGAATGCTTGGTAGACTTAATAAAGTGAATAGCTTCAATCGATTGGCCGAAAACCCCGAAAACCCCCGGTTACAACTACAACAAATTTACAGTAGAATATCTTCTTTTTATCATCTACAAAGCAAAAGAAGAATCACTGTAATGACTGGCGAGATGTTCTTTGTGCGGCCGCGTAATGGCTCGCCGTCTAGCACACGTCCCTGATAGACTTCACTATATATTCCCTTCCATCATGCAATTTTTACCCCTCTAACTCGGCTTAAAACGCTTTTTCCCAGGCTCTCGTTGTGTTTTACGGAATTTACGCATAAAACTCTCCCGAGAAAAAGTGGTAAGAAGTAGTTTAAAAAAGTGCCACCCAACCGACGTAGTACCAATGTTAATAGTTAAAAGTAAACATTTTTATAAGAAGTAGTTTAAAAAAAGACTTTTATTTGAAATGGAGAGGAATTACCTCTTAAAAAGCAAAAAAAAAAGTTTAACTGCAGACTCGAAGCTGAGAGGGTTTACTTCGTATTCTAGTCGACTACCACTCGCCCACCACCGCTCTTTAATTTCTTTGGGAAATCTGCTGATAAACTCGAGGGATGATCTTTAGAGTTCCATCTAAAACTTTACATGCTTATAACTTTTGAGAGAGTGCCGTTTAGCAAAAACGGAAAGCAGATTCGGATTCAGCGTGAAATTCAGCGTCTATGGCTCATTTCATTTGACCAGCCTATCCAGTTGACCATCGCTTTTCAATAATCAACAAAACGGACACAAAACGGAATGGTGTTCAAAACTCTGGTCACTTTTTTAGAAATGAATAACAAGTTTGTGTTTAGCAAAAAGGCGTTAAACTCGAATTTTTCCGTGTCTTTTTGCACTTCCAATAGAAAAATGGAAAGGAAAAAGCAACGTTAGAGTTCTTGGGTAAATAAACACTCGGTCCGGGTGATTTCCGAGTGAATTTTCACGGGTTTTCATTGAAATTAAATGGGAAAATAAACAGAAATGCAGGTTTTTTTGCATTTAATCGACTTTTATATTCTTTAAAGAGTCTCAAAATTAAATGATTGAATCAGATTAGCCATATTGGAACCATATTGGAACCATATTGGAACCCTATTGGAACCTTATCTGAACCATATTGGAACCCTATTGCAACCGTATCTGAACCCTATTGGAACCATATTGGAACCTTATCTGAACCCTATTGGAACCATATTGGAACCATATTGGAACCCTATTGGAACCTTATCTGAACCATATTGGAACCTTATCTGAACCATATTGGAACCTTATCTGAACCATATTGGAACCTTATCTGAACCATATTGGAACCATATTGGAACCCTATTGGAACCTTATCTGAACCATATTGGAACCATATTGGAGCCATATTGGAACCCTATTGCAACCGTATCTGAACCCTATTGGAACCATATTGGAACCATATTGGAACCCTATTGGAACCTTATCTGAACCATATTGGAACCTTATCTGAACCATATTGGAACCATATTGGAGCCATATTGGAACCCTATTGCAACCGTATCTGAACCCTATTGGAACCATATTGGAACCATATTGGAACCCTATTGGAACCTTATCTGAACCATATTGGAACCTTATCTGAACCATATTGGAACCATATTGGAGCCATATTGGAACCCTATTGCAACCGTATCTGAACCCTATTGGAACCATATTGGAACCATATTGGAACCTTATCTGAACCATATTGGAACCTTATCTGAACCATATTGGAACCTTATCTGAACCATATTGGAACCATATTGGAGCCATATTGGAACCCTATTGCAACCGTATCTGAACCCTATTGGAACCATATTGGAACCATATTGGAACCCTATTGGAACCTTATCTGAACCATATTGGAACCTTATCTGAACCATATTGGAACCTTATCTGAACCATATTGGAACCATATTGGAACCCTATTGGAACCTTATCTGAACCATATTGGAACCCTATTGGAACCATATTGGAACCATATTATATTCTTTAAAGACTTTTATATTCTTTAAAGAGTCTCAAGATTAAATGATTGAATCAGAGGTCAATCAGAATCAGTTCAGTTCAGCTTTTAGTCATGCGAAACACCTAAATAGAAATGGAATAAGAGATTTTCGACATTTCGACATTTCGACAAAAGTTTACACGTTTTCTCATCAGATTATTTTGGGAAAATGTTTGATGGATGAATAAAATAGTTAATTGAGATGAATAATTCGTTTTTAAAAATTTTTTCAATCAAATAGAAATTGAGAATTTCGGCAAAGTTTATCAACAAAATTTTGAAACAATAATCATCACTAAAACGTTTTTTTCTGAAACTTAAAATGAAGAATATCTTTTATTCAATGGGAATTATGTTTTATTTCTTTGAAAATGAAAACCCGTTCGATCGGATGGCTGAATCGAACAAGGGGAATGGATTCGAAGAAAAAGGGAATTACGAGTCTTTTTCCCCATTCATTCAACACTTTCGCATTTCAATCAAGCACTGCCAGTATTGATAAGAGACAAAACCACAACTCCTTTCTTGTCTTGTTGTCCTTTCTTGTCTTTTTTTGGGGATTGGCAAACATTTCATACAAGAACCAAGTCAAGAAATGAATTTGAAACAAAAAAATTGGCACCAAGGGGAATTGAAGCCTCGATCTTCTACTTGCCAGGCAGATGCTCTAGCACTGAGCTATCAGCGCCTTGTTTTGCCAAGAAAAAAATAGGAAAGACAAGGAAGAAAGTAAGCCAATTGGAGATGGCTTAATACTCAATTTTAGCAGAATTGAAGATTGAATTGAATTCAATCTTCACAATCTTCACATTTATTTCTAGACATTTCTAGATCCTAAATCATTTCTAAACATTCTTCCTTTAAATCAAAGTCAAAAATAAATCAATCTTGATGTCATAAACATTTTCTAAAAGAGATTCTAAGCTAGATTCCGATAGAAAAGATGGAAAAATGAAACTCAGCAATTACTAGGTCAATCAGCTCAGGTCAATCAGCTCAGTTCAATCAGCTCAGTTCAATCATCTCAAGTCAATCATCTCAAGTCAATCAGCTCAAGTCAATCAGCTCAAGTCAATCAGCTCAAGTCAATCAGCTCAAGTCAATCAGCTCAAGTCAATCATCTCAAGTCAATCAGCTCAAGTCAATCAGCTCAAGTCAATCATGTTCTTTGATTCTTTACACCACTCTACAAGATAAAACTTCTCAAAGAACTTCTGAGAAATCTGCGAGAATAGCTTCAATTCTATCTGTTTGATTAGCCAATTGGAGATGGCTTAATACTCAATTTTAGCAGAATTGAAGATTGAATTCAATTCAAGAGAAATCTGCGAGAATTTCTACGAGAAATCTGCGAGAATAGCTTCAATTCTATCTGTTTGATTAGTAATCCCAAAAATTAAAGCCTTTATCATTTGATATTTATTGATAAATAAACGATGCAGAATTACTATAGAAAATTATTTGATTCTTTCAAGTTTGAGGATTCTCTTCGCCTCACGTTGCCCAGAGAGATAGGCTCCAGAGGTTGTTTGATAGAGATTTGAATGGGTCGCTTCACCAGCGAAAAGGATTTGAGCTCTAAATGAAATGTCAAACAATAAAATAAAAGAGCGTTTAAAGAACCCAATTCTACATTAAACTCTCACTTCCCAGTTCCCGCATTTCTCACAGGTTCCGCCATAATCGAGTATGGATCTCCATCACCTAAAGTGGCCGCCTCGGGAGTGATGAACGAGTAAGAGCCGAGGAAGAGGGGATTCGAGGACCAGTTCATTCTAATCAAATAAAAATAAATCATTATCATAAAATGAACCTGATGACACTTTTAGGAAGTGGAATTGTTTGATTATTGAGTCCTTCGCGAAGTCTTTCTGTCATCATTTGAGCGAGTGTTGCATCATCGAGATTCGAGATTAAACTCGGTCCATCACCAGCTAGCCAACAAATCAACATCTGCAAATTGATTGCTTAAGTATAAGTAAGTCTTCAGACACTCACATTCCTTTCCCATTCCAACGGGGTGAACACACGGAAAGTGTTTTTCGTCACCGATCGAGTGTCGGTGTTTCTCGAATCGGTGATGACCAAGATTGACTGAAGTTTGTATTTTGATTTGATTTATGAAGAGTTTGACGCTTAGACTTTAGAATACTTGCATCTTCTTTCCACCAATCTTTCTCGTATTCAAGAAAAACTTTCATCATATTGCCCATTCCTGAAATGATCTCAAGCTCTTGATTTTGATTGTTATTTTACCCAATTTCTGAATGGCTTCTTGTTTCATTGACGGTAAAAGAGGCGTGAAAAGAGATGAAGCAAATCTCTTGAGATGTCCGAGAGAACAAGTGACAATCACATAGTCGAAGAGAAGTGATTGATCGATGGGAGCGGTCGATAAAGTGAGGCGAGCCTTGGCGCCTGTGAATGTCAGGCTTTGTACTTTGTGCTCAGAAATTGAAGTGAACCCTTTCTAGCGTACTTGGGTCTTAAAAAAATGACGTGCTAATTGCCAAAAAAAGATTCCTTTTTGAGGTGAAAGTACGAATTCTAAAGAAATTGCTCTCTTCAACGCACCACTGTAGTCAATCTTTTGCACTGTCGAATTGTAGCGAACGTTCACCTCATTGACATTGGTTTTGATGTTGTCGAGAATAGCCTAAAGATAGTTGGGAAATCGATTCAAATAGATTACCGTAAATACTGTAATAGTACCCCACCGCCATAATGACGGTGCGGAGTGTTACGTAGTCTAGCTTGGAACGAGTTTTTCTCGACACTGGTTTATGCTACAATGCGCGCTTAGGTATCAAAAAATAGCCCTCAATTTCAGCTATTTTTTGATACCAAAGACGCATTTTTTGAAAGCACGGGCGCTTTGAAAAAAAAATGAAATACTAAAAAACTTTTGCGACTACGCGACTGTACGAGAGGGCGGTGGGGTACTATTACAGTATTTACGGTAGTTTATCTTTGAATCTTCACCAAATTATCGACTACGCGACTGTCCGAGAGGGCGGTGGGGTACTATTACAGTATTTACGGTAGTTTATCTTTGAATCTTCACCAAATTATCGACTACGCGACTGTCCGAGAGGGCGGTGGGGGTACTATTACAGTATTTACGGTAGTTTATCTTTGAATCTTCACCAAATTATCGACTACGCGACTGTCCGAGGAGGGCGGTGGGGTACTATTACAGTATTTACGGTAGTTTATCTTTGAATCTTCACCAAATTATCGACTACGCGACTGTCCGAGAGGGCGGTGGGGTACTATTACAGTATTTACGGTAGTTTATCTTTGAATCTTCACCAAATTATCGACTACGCGACTGTCCGAGAGGGCGGTGGGGTACTATTACAGTATTTACGATAAGTTTTCTAGTGACCTTGAAACCCAAAGGACCTAACGCATACTCGGTCCCGTCTCCGTAATCATCCCATTCAGCAAAGTTCTGGATGGCTATCTGAAAAGTGAAAGTTTAACCAAAAGAAATCAATATTTTAAGGATGAAGAATGAAATTCGAGTATCGATCACCCGATCAAATGGCCCACTCCATTCCGTTTCATAATAAGTCGCGTACAATTGCGCCAATCGATCGAAGACGACACGTTTTGAGAGACGAGTTTCATTCTAAAGTTTTCTTTGTAAACGAATTTGTTTCTAAATCATTATTCAAAATTTTCAATCACCTGTTGAAGCCATTTTTCGTATGCTGGAGTGAAAACTTGAGCCAAAGTTTGAGTTGCCAAATTCTGAAAAATGGAAACATTTTGTAAACAACATCAGCCTACCGCTTCACCTAAGTCGAATTTTGCCGACATTTTATTTGAGAAAGTGCGAAACTCTTTGAGATCTTGTCTAAAAGTACTTTAAGAATATTGATTGTTTGATTGTGAGAAATGTATTTGGGATTTTCTTGGCTTGGCTTCATTGGCCTAGTTTATTTGGTTTAGAAATCTTCACGATGTTAAGCAGTTTTAGCAAAATTTGCTATTAATTAGGAATGTTTATTGGGTTTTGTTTATTAGGTTTTTGTTTATTTTGTTTATTAGGTCTATTGTTTAATCACAGTTAAACTCTAAAGGAATACTTTGAGACAACGACATTGCCGAAAGCGTATGTCGAGGCATTATCGAAGTAATCATCTCCATCATCGGGATGACTGAAAAGAGAAAGATTTAGACATACCGTAAATACTGTAATAGTACCCCACCGCCCCCTCGTACAGTCGCGTAGTCGCAAAAGTTTTTTAGTATTTCAATAATATTGAATTTTCAAAGCGCCCGTACTTACAAAAAATGCGTCTTTGGTATCAAAAAATAGCTGAAATTCAGGGCTATTTTTTGATACCTAAGCGCGCATTGTAGCATAAAACAGTGTCGAGAAAAACTCATTCAAAGCTAGACTACGCAACACTTCGCACCGTCATTATGAGGGTGAGGTACTATTACAGTATTTACGGTATGGATTTGTCTGTAAGATGTTAAATCACAGAATTTACTTGCAAAACCAGCTAAATAAGATCAGTGGACCTTAATAAAGATATGATTAGTTTAAAGCTAAAGAAAGAAAGAAAGTTATCAATTCATCAAAACGTACATAGGCAATTTGAGTGCGGTGGCGATCTCATACATCAAATTTTTCTTCCCATTGATGAACTGGGCGCCGAGTTGGATATAGCCAGAGCCTGAAGCAAAAAATGGAAAACTAAACCTACTCCACTATCAATAAATCAATCCGTTGAATGTACTTGAAATAAAAAAATGAAATCAAGATTGATATCACATACGGTATGGAAGATTTCTGACACGTCCACCCAGCAGATTTGTCCCTTCAAAAAGCACATAGTCTACGCCTTTCTCTTGAAGAGTTCTGAAACAACAAATTGAACAGTTTAGATCTTAATTTTGCAATTCAAAGTTCAAAGTTTTCCTGACCTCGCAGCTGCAAGCCCAGCTAAACCACCGCCAATGATAGCCACACGGGATGAAGGCTGCATTTGAAAAGATAAATATTATCAAATATTGCTAGTTTAAATCTTTTAGCAGAATCTAAACTTTAAATTTAATATTTGTATATAGAAAAGTCAAGTGTATCGATTTGTTTCAATATTTTCTTCAAACCCCGCACTAATCTTATCAAAAACTGAGTGGTCAATGGTCGATTAATAGAGGAAATGAAAATGATGGAATTCGGTTGAAATTTGTGTCAAATTGAAGCTATTGAATGAGTTGCAATACTTGAAAATTGAGAGTTGAGCAATTTTCGAGAAGCAGGCTTAGAACTGACTTCTAGTCTACCTAAGCTATTGGAACAAGCAGGCCTGGCTTGGCTTGGCTTGGCTCATCAAAGTCCGGCCTTCTCAATCCTATGAGACAAGTTTAATCTGGTTCAAGAGCTGATAGACAAGATTCTTTCAACTCTTCTCTATCTTAGTCTACCTTTTAGCTTTATGCTCTAGTCTTGCTGTAAATTCGACTCATCAAAGTACTCGAATTCTTTTATCTGAATAAATCAGCCGACCTTTATCTGTCTCTCCACTCGTTTCGATGTCATTAAAGAACTAAATAGAGTAAATACTAATAGAAAAATGTAACTAATTTGCATGGTTTTGTGAATGTGAAAATTATTTGAGAGTCTAGTAGTTTTACATCTATATATCTACACCAAAAAAAAATTCTCTATTTGCACATCAGAGCAAAGAAGCAAAGAATTCAAAAAAAGGAAACGGGGAAATGAAAATGGGAAGAAAAAGAAATGAAAAAAAAAAATGAACACACAAATATTGGATGATCGTTGAAAAAAGCTGTTGGGAAAACGTGAGTAATCATGCGGGTCAAAGACTAGAGAATTTTCGAGGGAAAATTGTGTGATAAACGGTGAAATAATCGGTGAAAAAGCTTAAGCAGTCTCTAAGGTTGAATTTCTTTAAAAGTCTTGTTTAGCTTTTTCTTCTTTTTGAAATATTTATCGTTGGCGTGGTCGAGTTTTTGGAAAGAGCCATGAAAAAAAAAACGACGCAAGGAACATTTATGGACAACGAAATGTCAGGATACAAAGTCCCTAGTTCCTATTTTAGCTGTTTTTTAGAAGGTATAAAAGATAATTGAAAAACTATTAAAAACTGTAATCACTTCGGGTAGATTTAGCTTAATTTATTGGATTATTTGGGTATGACTTGGCACGTTTTTTTAAAATAAATTTTTCTTTATTTAACAACTTTAAGTCATGCGAAATATTTCCCATTATTTTTATATGATTTGTGCCCATTTTACTGGTAGAAGTCGAATATCTCTTTTATAGAAAATCTTCGGTTTTGACGCAAGATCTCTCTGTCAATTCGTCTGTCAATTCGTCTGTCAATTCCTCTGTCAATTCGTCTGTCAATTTGTCTGTCAATTTGTCTGTCAATTCCTCTGTCAATTTGTCTGTCAATTTGTCTGTCAATTCGTCTGTCAATTCCTCTGTCAATTCGTCTGTCAATTTGTCTGTCAATTCGTCTGTCAATTCCTCTGTCAATTCGTCTGTCAATTTGTCTGTCAATTCGTCTGTCAATTCCTCTGTCAATTCGTCTGTCAATTTGTCAACCATTTTTTGACCTCTTCTTCAGAATTAAAGTGTTTGTTCGCCAAATCATTCCCAATCATGTAATCAGAAGGTGCAAGATCAGAGCTGTATGCCGGATAGGTCATCAACTCCAACTCCATCCAAGTGAGTTTAGTGTAGAGCGAGTCATCTTCGAAACATGCGCTCTAGCATTATGTTGGAGAATAATCTCTCTCTCTCTCTTTGGGGTCTTTTCTCTGGCAAAGATTTGGCTGACTTGTCAAGTTGCTCCGAGTATTTGATTAAGTTGAGTGTTGTCTTGCTATCCAAAAGTTCCCAGTAAGCCGGATGAGCCATCACCTCTCATCCAAGTGATAGGCCCTTCCAAATCCCAAAGTACCAAGAGCATAAACTTCTTCTCATGCACATTTGGCTTGACGTCGGGTTTGGGCTTTTCCACCTCAGCAACCCATTGGCGCCTTCTCCGAAAGTTGAAAGTTAGAATTCATTTTCATCCACCATCACCATTTTCATCAATACAGGATAAAAAAAGTTTTGCACTCGTATCGAGAAAGATGAGCAGCACTGATTGAAACGCGGTTGACATTTCTGAGTGTTCAGTCATGGAATCCAAGCCTCTAATTTCGATTTAAACCCAATTGTCTACAATATTCGAGTATTATTGTATTGTAACTGATAACTCTTCTACTATTTCGCGAAAAAAAAACCTTTTATTGGTTTAAACCTTTAAATTGGGAACTTTTTAAAATCCCGTAATCACTTTTTTATTAAATCTATTCTCTTTTAGCTTCTTCACAAAACGAAATTGATCATTTCTTTTCATAGTTAAAATCCCGGCACTAAATTTTGCTTGTTTTTATTTGAAAATAAGAAATCTTGATATCTTGATTTCTTTCTATCTTGCTATTCTATTTTCGGTTTGAATTTTTCGTGACGAAAGCCGGAAATCCCATCGCTTTCTTTGTTTTTCTTTGTTTTTCCCCTTTCTCGATTTTGCCCATTTTCTCATGGGCCAAACGAAAGAAAAAGGGAAAAGAAGGAAATTGAAACACCCAAAAAGTGAGTCATTTCTTTTTTGGCAAATTCTTGCTTAAATAAAAGGGTTTAAAAATGTTTCTTTTTTCTTTCCTTTTGATGGTTTTGAAATTCTCAGCTTAAAAATCTTTATTTTTCTTTTGTTTCTTCTTATAGTATATAAGAATAAAGAGTAGAAATTCATTTCATTTCAATTTGATTATTTTTCTATACAATAAACTTTTGATCTTTAAATTATCTCATTGTTTTTCTTCATTTGGAATACTTCATTTTGAAGACTTCATTTGTTAGCTTTTTTTTTTACTTTATTGACATCCATTTTCCATTCTCTTAGATGACGCTTCTTTAAGAAAAGAGGAAAAATGGAATGGGGAATGGATTGGAAAAGAGGGGGAAAGTGAGGTCTTTCCCGTCCAGAGGCTTTTACCTTTTACCGTCCAGAGGCTTTTACCTTTTACCGAATGGCATCGTGGTCATGGTTGTGGCTGAAATTGAGGAGATTCAAATCTTTTTTTCAATAATTTCTTTCATATTTCACCATTAGCTGAGCTTTTCATCTCCAAAATGACGTCACTGAGCCCAAGAAAGATCATTTCTTTCACTTCTCACTTTGCAGTTTTTTCCTAGAAAAGATCCTCGATGAATATCAGTCCATTTGGGGAATAGAACGAGAGCCAAAAAAAAGGCGTTGAGAGGAAAAGAAAAGAAGAAAAGAAGAAGCACTCAATTGAAAAGAGACATGTGATCTATACGAGAGATCAAATCACTCCCCTCCTTTCTTCCCTAAAAAAAAGGTTTCCCCATCAAACCATCACAGCACTTTTAAATCTCAAAAACAAACGGTTGTCATGAGGAGTTTTGCGGTTGTTTTTGTCTCATTTATCCCTCAATTAACACGTTGACGACAATGGCGTTTTTGCACAAACAATCGCATGGGACAACGTTGTTTTTTTTTTTTTTTTTTTCGACAAAAAATGTCACCTGACATCAGGTGACAATGTCCCAGGCGAAAGAATATGTGTCAGACAGCATCAGGTGACAATGTCGTCCACGTGTTAAGCTGAATTGGAAAATTCTCTCCAAAAAATTCCTTTTCTTTATTAATTTTCATTTTGTTTACTAAATTTGCTCTAACTTTTTTTCAAAAATTCCTTTAAATTTCAATTTTTAAAACTTCTGAAAGAATTGAGCTTTTTGGAAAAGAAAAAAAAACATTTGGAAGTTAAGAAATCAATTTTTATGTTTTTAGACAACTTTAACACTTTTCGATATCGATTTCTTTTTGTTTTTTTGTTTTTTTTTTGAAATTTGACCCTTTATTCATTAATTTCTTGGCTTTTTTTCAAAAATGACGTCAACTTTTTCATTTCCTTTTCCATCTTTCCCCATTTCACTCATTATATTCACAGATGGCCGAATGACGTCATAGGGACTAGGGAAAACCGTTTTTTTGAAATTGAAAAGAAAAAAACCATGTTTTGTATCATAAAATGTTTGTCTCGGGGGTTTCGAAATTGTCTTGATCTGTCTTGAGATATTGCTTACTGATATTGAGATTGCTTACTGTTTACTAATATTGAGTTTACTGACTGATTACTAATATTGAGATTGCTTACTGTTTACTGATATTGAGATTGCTTACTGTTTACTAATATTGAGTTTACTTACTGTTTACTAATATTGAGTTTACTGACTGATTACTAATATTGAGATTGCTTACTGTTTACTAATATTGAGACTTGAGATATTGAGTCTTGATGTATTGATGGATTTTGATGGATTTGCCTCTAGAAAATGAATTATTATTAAAACATTGTAATTTCAAGTTTAATAATCTCAATTTTTAACAACTATAGTATCAAGAGAAAGTAACAAATTTAATTGTTTCTTTTTGATTCTTTTCTTTCACCGAAACCCGACCACTAAAAATTTGCTGTGGTGATTTTCGGCTTTTCGTGGAAAGGAGCTGCTCACCGGGTGTACCCCAGTAGCTTTGTGCAAAATTCTCCTATCAGCATTTAATCCAGAGAAGAAAAAGAGTGATTGAGGCGGGAAATCTATTGGACTTAGAAACATTTTTTTTTGCAATCATGCGATTGAGAGGGGAAGGATTGTTTGTGAGTGATGGGAGACGCTTATCAATAATATCAAAAGAAAGGGTCACAAGGTTCGCCTTTCGAAAAAAAATATTAGGTCATCTTCTGGATTTGATAAGAGTTTTTTTTGGGTAGAAGGTCTTGTGTTCTTTTTAGTTCTCTATTCATCTCGAGTCTATGGAATGCATTGTCTTTTCATTTTATTGCTCTTCATGTAAAGGAAAAGAAAGTCAATGAGCTTCTAAGAGTTTCAAAATCTTCGCTTATCAAATTTTTCTTTTAAATTTCTTTTTTTTAACTCTTTCTCAAGGCTATATTCCAGTTTTTCTTTGCCTTTTTATTCTTTTTCTGTTTCTTTTCTTCTATCAAATATCTTTCCTTCAATTTTCTGATTCTCTGACTCTACTAGGTTACCTTTTCCATTCTCTGACTCTCCTGGATCATCTTTTCCATTCTCTGACTTTACTGGGTTACCTTTTCCATTCTCTGACTCTTCTGGATAATCTTTTCCATTCTCTGACTCTACTGGGTCATCTTTTTCATTCTCTGACTCTACTGGGTCATCTTTCCCAAATCAGTACTTCATCTCTATCACAATCTTTTTCCATTTCTCCTTCTGTTTATCACTTTTCTCCAATTTATGCATAAATACCCAGCAAATTGCCCTTTTCCTCAACAAATCTCACGTGTTTTCAGAAGCGAATCACTCGTCTCATCGAATCAATTCTCCTATCCACAAATCTCTCAAATTCATTCCCCCAAAACTCACTCCAGAAAATAGAAAATGGTAAACGATTGTGACTTTCCCCAATCCACTACCCCAGTTGTGTGTTCAGTTTTATTTTTTTTATCTCCTATAATCTTCTAGAGATACATGGGGGTTTATCCCCATTTCCACCCATCCCCATTTGGATTTGTGTGTGGAAATGAATGAGATTTGATGAAGAAAGATGAGAGAGAGAGAGAGAGTGATATTCATATGATCAAACTACAGCTTTTTCTCAGCATCAAAGCCACGCTTGTGTGTAAGTTCAGCCTAGTTCCAGGGTTTGTCCTGGATCTGTCAAAATGGCGCGCCCGCTCGCCCACATGCACCCTCAGGTACGGAAAATTCAAAAAAATTTTATGTTCCCTTTGACCAAAAAAAAAATTCGAATTCTTTTTGTTATTAAGATGTTAAAGATGTTATGAACCGAGTTAAGGAAATGATTTTTAGCTACTTTTCTAAATAATCTTTTAGATTACAATTAAACAAGATCATTTCTTAAACAATTTCTGTTACAGTGCCTCGAAAAACTTTCTAGGATTAAACGACTTTTATCTTTATAGATAGATTTCTCTAGATTTATCTTAGGATTTCTGCAAAGTCTCAGTCCATGTCTTGCTACAGTAAGTCAGAGAATACATAGCTGAATATCTAACAGGCTTTCAGTGTACTGCCTACTGTAGCTAGACAAACTGGTTTACAGCAAAAAAAGCTAGTAGCAAAAGCTAGAATCAAAAGCTTAAAGGTTATCGGTTTTATAGTATCTTTAACAACAAATCCCCTGTCCAAGAAAATCCTGGGAAGCGTATGTTGGTGTGGCGGGGTCGGCGTCGGTTTGGGCAGATGCGAAAAAAGAAGAATTTCAGCTGCGCCTCCATTGTGGAGGAAAAATCGAACCCGAAAAGCTAGGCCTAGGGAAAGATAGTACTAGGCTAGGCTAGGCTAGGCTAGGCTCAAAAAAGAAAAAAAAAGACGCTGGGGGTAAGGTGATGGACTGAAGCCCATCGTTTCGGTTACTTGTGGAAACACGCGGTGCCTTGGGAGGGGCGGTCGACGGTATCGGGACGATACGCTCGCTTTGGGGTCAGCTCAGAAATCATTCTATTTAAAAAACAAACACAAAACACTTATAGTTTCATCTCTTTATTCAAGTTTTTACTTTTTTTACTTTTATTTCAAGCTCAAGCACCTCAAAAAAAAGACGTTAAAGTCTAGCTTTGTAGTCTCAAATGGTACAACATCTCTTGCTCACTTTTGGAGCAAATTTAGGGCTATTTTAAGCTATTTAGAGCAATTTAGAGCAATTTTAAGCTAATTATTTTCTTCTTAAAACCAAAATAGTCATAAATCTACAATATCTCAATCTTTTGACATTTAAAAATCAAAAAATCATCCAAATTTCTTTCCTAGAGCTGACTATTTTGCGAGTGTATTTCCTTATTGTCGACCTGCATCCCGGCCGTCTCTAAGCACCGCCAGAGAACTCTGGACGTACCAGTTGGCATTCGAAATTCAATCAAAAACCGATTTTTACTCATCCATGCCAACTGGTCGCCACCGATGCATCTCGGGCTTAGAGGCAGTCATGTGAGATAGGATTTAAGGAAAAAGATGAAAAATGATGGCAACTTTTGGAAAAACAAATGACTTATCAGGACTGCTGGATGGAAAATGGATTTATTTATTTTTCGAAAAAAAAAACAAACCCTGGCAGTTCTGATCTCTAATTAATAATGGGGCTTGAGATGACCTACTTTGGAAGGTCCTTCTCTCACACTCGACCCGCGTGCATTTCATGATAACTTGAGAACGGGTCTTCGCAAATTTTCCACTGACAAATACGTAGAAATTGTTTTCAGATTTCTCAGGTTGCTTTATTGAATGGAAATGAGGGGAAACTCCGTGTGGCCATTGTTGGCGGAGGTTTGGCTGGACTCTCTGCGGCTAGGTGAGTGGCCATCAGTGATTAGGGAATGTCTATTTGCCAAAACATTTACAAGTCTATGAAATCTTTCAAAAAACTTTCAACTTTGATTTAGATTTTGATTCAAATTTTTGATAAAACTTTGATTTAGGCTAACGAATGGTTTTTGTAGTTAAGTTTTCAAATTCAAAACCTTTTCGAGTTATACACAATTAGTTACCGTAAATACTGTAATAGTACCCCGCTCCCATAATGACGGGTGCGGAGTGTTGCGTAGTCTAGCTTTGGACGAGTGTTTCTCGACACTGGTTTATGCTACAATGCGCGCTTAGGTATCACAAAATAGCTGAAATTCAGGGCTATTTTTTGATACCTAAGCGCGCATTGTAGCATAAATCAGTGTCGAGAAAAACTCGTTCAAAGCTAGACTACGCAACACTCCGCACCCGTCATTATGGGGGTGGGGTACTATTACAGTATTTACGGTAGGTACTTTACTCTTTACAGTAAGACTTTACAGTATCTTTTAAAAGGAAAATAAAGCTTTACAGTATTGTTTGATTAGCTTTAATTCTTAGCTTGACATCTGTTAACTAAGAATTCAGATCTCTTCAAGAGAAAAATGTCGACTACGTGCTTTTCGAGGGAACTGATCGTGTTGGTGGTCGTGTTAGGAATACTCCATATCGTTCGTTTATTTATCATCGAAGATCGAAGATTATTGATTGTTTAAAATTCAGGCTCTGGATTCATCCAATTCGGTGCAGAGTTCGTGAACGGAAAGTCGAATCCAGTGTACGAGATCGCGTCGAGGTTGAACTTGCTTGATCGGTGAGTTTCTTAAGAATAGTCTTATCTAAGAATTTGATAATAAAAAGGGTTAAAATCTTGTAAATTTAAATTAGTTAAGTAGCTATTTTAGCTATATGGACGACGAGGAGCTTTTTACGGACGATGTGCTTTATGCATGCGGACAATCAGATATTTCAAAGTGAGTTCGAGCTTGAAAAGAGAGAGATTTTGATTGCTTTTATTGCTAATTTAATGATCATTAAATGAATAATGCAAAATCGAATTCAGAAACGACATCAAGGAGTTTCAAACATTCACAAAACCACTCTCAGACAAGTTTGAAGAAGCTGGGAAAGAGGAGATGACACCGAGTGTCGCCGAAATGTTTTACACAGAGTATGAGGAATGGCTTCAACAGGTAATTTGCTGCTGTAATTAGTGACAAAGAAGGTACTGTGAATACTGGGATTACAGTAAACTTATCAAGAAACAGGGTTAACGTTCTCCTTTTCAGGATAGTCAACGCCTGGCTCGTCGCCGAATCTTTGATCGTCTCTCAAAGCTGTATCAGACTTATTACGAGAATGAATGGAGTGCTCCATTTGATCAGGTAGAGAAAACTTCAAATATAAAGCCTAAATTAAACAAATCTCTTTGAAAAAAAGATCATTTCCAGCTTGCTGTGCTCAACTTGGAGCGTTGGGATGATTTCTCTGACGCATTTGCTTCATTTACTCTTGGACCTCAAGGATTCAAGGTATTTAAAAAATAGATATAGATTAGATATCGATTTAGATATAGATTAGCTATAGATTTAGATATAAATTGAAATTCTAAGCAAGCTAGAGAGCTGAAATCTCTAGGCAATCCTCGATGACATCAAATCGTTCGTCAACGAGAAGAACATTCGCTACAACTCGATTGTGCAGAACATTGACTACTCAGGTAGATAAAAAAAAAGTACAAAGTTTGTAAATGACTTACTGACTGTAAATGACTCGTTTTTTCTTTTCTTTCAGGATCTAAAGTGCGACTCACGGTGACCTCTCCTTGTGTCAGTGATCAGCCACTTCTGTTCGATTATGTGATCGTCACTTGCCCCATTGGTCACCTTAAACGCTTCTCATTTTCTCTCTTCACTCCACCACTCCCAAAAGTTAAACAACAAGCAATTGAAAATATTGGTGAGTTTTATGAAAGAGAGCTGAAATCTCTAGGCAATCCTCGATGACATCAATGACATCGATGACAAATAAGTTTGTTTTATAGTTGAATTGTAGACTTAAGAATGATCTCATAGTCGAATCTCATTCCATCATTTAACTAAGCAAGAAAAGGAAAACGATTTACTAGAGCACAAAGCACAAAGCGCAACTTTGCGGTCTACAAAAGATCTAGAAAATCATCAAATTTAGGAGTTAATTCTTTTTCATAGCTATTCTTTCATAGCTATTCTTTTCATAACTATTCTTTTCATAGCTATTCTTTTCATTTCTTCATTCTTTTCATTCTTTTTCAGGTATGGGTAATATGATGAAAGTCTTCCTTGAATACGACGAAGAATGGTGGCCAGAAGAGGTAACAAAACTTCTTCATTTCTTAACTCAATATTTTTTAGGTTGGATCAATCTTGGCCTTGCCTGAGACAACGAATAACAATAATAGTATAAGTAATTTCAATTACAATGAACATGAAAAGGAAAACTCGAAACCGATGAATTGGAAAAAAGTGAAAGAAGCTGAGAAAACGGTGAAGATCAAAGAGACGTTGAGAGTGTTTCAGCCATTGGAATGGGAAAGCAATGTGAGTGGAAACTATTTGATTGTTTAATAGTATCAAGTGGAAAGCTAAGAAGCTAATTGAACGATCGAATTCTTCCAGATGTTGGTTTGTTGGTTAGCTGGTGATGGACCGGCATTGATTTCACAAATTGATGACACAAAACTCGCTGAGATTGTGACGGAAAGGCTACGTGAAGCGCTCGTCGATCAGAAAATCCCGGCACCAAAAAGGATACAAAGGTGAGTTCAAACAATGTACTTTGTTCAGCGAGTTCAGCCAAAGATTCAAGTTCATTGTTTGTTTTCAGGATGGATTGGTACTCGCATCCGCTTTTCCATGGCTCGTATTCATTTCTTACACCCGAAGCGGCGGCAATGGGTGATCCATATGCGATCATGGGAGAACCAGTGAAGAATTTCACGTCCGGAAAGTGAGGCTTAACTTTTTTGTCTTCTAAATTTCCAAAATCTGTTGTCATTCGAAACATAATGAGAAATTAGTTACCGTAAATACTGTAATAGTACCCCACCGCCCTCTCGTACAGTCGCGTAGTCGCAAAAGTTTTTTAGTATTTCATTTTTTTTCAAAGCGCCCGTACTTACAAAAAATGCGTCTTTGGTATCAAAAAATAGCTGAAATTCAGGGCTATTTTTTGATACCTAAGCGCGCATTGTAGCATAAACCAGTGTTGAGAAAAACTCGTTCAAAGCTAGACTACACAACACTCCACACCATCATTATGGCGGTGGGGTACTATTACAGTATTTACGGTATGGATTTGTTTGTAAGATGTTAAATCACAGAATTTACTTGCAAAACCAGCTAAATAAGATCAGTGGACCTTAATAAAGATATGATTAGTTTAAAGCTAAAGAAAGACAGTTATCAATTCATCCAAACGTACATAGGCAATTTGAGTGCGGTGGCGATCTCATACATCAAATTTTTCGCACATCAAATCAAAGCCCTCAATTTCAGCTATTTTTTGATACCTAAGCGCGCATTGTAGCATAAACCAGTGTCGAGAAAAACTCGTTCAAAGCTAGACTACGCAACATCCCGCACCGTCATTATGGGGGTGCGGTACTATTACAGTATTTACGGTATGTATTCAATTCCAGAACTCAAGTGCTCTTCGCTGGTGAGGCGACTCACTCAAATCTTTATCAAACCACTTCGGGAGCGTATCTCTCCGGTCAACGTGAAGCTGATCGAATCTGCCGTCTCGAGAATCTCATTTAAATGAAACTGTATATACTGTACAAAGTATTGTATTGTGTTATAGGGTTTTGACTTGAGCTGAATCGGCCATTCTCTTGCGCTTGAGTGCGATGTTTATGTACATATTCGTCTAGGTTTTTCTTTTATCATTTTTTTTCTTTCTTTTTGATGTTTCTGCGCATATCATTGAATCAAGTGCCATTTTTTTTCTTCTTACATTCCTATTTTTGTCAGTAATAAAGAGTTTTATAGGATTTTTTTTATCATTCAAAGGGTTTATTCATAGAAAAAATACTCTTCAGAGAAAAAAAAACATGGAGAAAAAGTCTCAAAATTTCATAGCACCATCGCAAGAGTTCCTATCGATTTCAAAAACGAAAAAAAAAGACACAAACCAATTACCGTCAGGATTTGAGTAGAAGATCTATAGAGTCAGTTTTGTATCGAAATAAATCTGATACTGGATCAGAATCAAGAGATTGAATTTCGTGTATAAAACAAAAATCTGATTTGCAAAGGCTACCTACTCTGGTACTGGTTTTGAAAGCTAACTAACCGATGTTCAATACCTGTTGATCATTGATCTAATGGATCAACTGTGCTAGGTCAGGACTGTTACAGAGCCAAAGTTAACACCAAATCCAAAGCCAGTATCCAAAGCTGTTTGCTCGAAATCTATAGAAGTTCGTTTTCTATTGGGAATGATTACGGCAGAAGAAGAAAAAGAATGGAGACGAATCAGAGGGAAATACCGGTAGCTGAGCGTATGTAATAAATATCAAATGTTTTGAGTGCATAGAAAACTTCAATACAAACCACATTCCTTTACAATTTCAATACAATCCACATCCCTTCAATTTCGATGAGAGAATCGTGTCGAGCACCGAGTCGAGCACGAATTGCACCTAAACCATTCGACCTTTGTATGGATAAACGTAAACGACTCAAAGAGAGAAGTTTTACTTGAATAGGTAACACTTTTGCAATATTAGAAAGCCCATTTACCGTAATTAAAAGAAGAAGAGCTTTTTGACCAACGAATTTGCCGAGTTTTACCCTTTTTTAGCTATCAAATTTTCTCTCTGAACTTGCCTGTTCCGTATCGGTGGCACAAGTGTGATGGCAGTAGATGTTCTTGTTCGGATTCTCGTTCACCTAAAATTCGACTCAATAGGAAGATTGATGTTAAAGCTGTTAAAAAAGAAGTCTTCACAACAAAACTCACCGATAGATATCGCTTTTCGATGTAATGTGACGCGGGCTCGTAGCTTTCGGAACCTAAAAATGACTTGGATTCTAGGAATTGAGCAGTATTTACCCTGGATGTTGTTTTGACATTTTGTTTTATAGCTTTATCATTGGTACCAGGCTAAGAGCGGGTTTTTCTGGCAAGGAGTGGTCGAAAGTGCGCTTGCCTACCGCCCACGCGGTCCGGGTTCGACCCCCGTCCTGCCACTCAGCTTTGCCATTTTTAAAATGGCAAAATGACACAACTTCAAAATATATTATAAGGTTTTCTAAAGAAGTTTTAGCTTTATTGTTTAAAACACAGCCGAGAAAATACCCGTACAGACAGAGATTACTCTTTTATATGTAGTAAATAACCTTTGTAATCGGGAAACGTTATCGTCAACGATCGTCCGTGTCCGATCTTTTGAGCAAATAAATCTTTCTGAAAAATTTGATCTCAAAAATAGCTCACATTTCACTCACTTTATTCAAGAATAGAATCACCGAAGTGCTCGTGAAGAATTTACTGTTGATGACCTGTTTAAAGAGATGAATCGACTCTTGCATTCGGTTCTAAAAAACGATTAGCTTAACAAGTTCGGCAGTATTGAAAAATTAAAGTTACTTTGCTTAATGAAGTGCTAATCGAGTCAAAAAAAATGCCATAGTTTGATGAAATGTTGAATAGCAGAAATTTTTGTGTGCACTTACCGTCACATTGTCCTCCACCAATACTTGATCGTATTCTGACAGAGAGGCCACATAAATGATCGCTTTTGCGTCATCGAAACAGTGAATCCACTTTTTACGCTGTGACCGTTGCCCGCCGACGTCGAAAACCCTGAACGATAAAATTAGTTGTGAAAATTGTACTGCAAATTCTTGTACTCACCTCCATGTCTTATTTTTCATCCTGAACATCACTTCAATGACGCCCATCGTGGCGACTCTTGTGTGAAGAATGTCTTGTTCTGTCGGCACATATGAATCCGGGTAGATTCTTTCCAAAGAGTCCAAGAAGCTGAAAGTGGATTAGTTAGAAAAGTGTGTTCAACTCTGAAGTTTTATTTAGACTATAACTTTATTTCGACTCTATTATTCTTAAGTTTTATTTATAGTTTTAAAGAGGATACTTTAGGCTTTCAAATGGTATAAAATAAAGCTTAATTAGACCACAAAATCCAGAGAAAATCGAGAAACAAAACGCTCAAGTTAGCAGCGCACTGTTCTCTCTCAGGAAAGCTCATTCATGTGGAAAGTGTAAGAGATAGCTTTTCTCGAAAGTTATAAAATTGTTTGGACTTGAATCTTCGAGTAAATGGCTATTTTTCAATTGTTTTTAAAAGTTCAATCTTCAAAGACTTACTAGGCAGCCGAGTCGTGAAGGTAAAACTCGTCCTTTCGCTCGAAAGCAGCTTTGATTCCCTAGAAAAATTTTGTAAACTGTTCAAGTAAACTCATCAAACACATCAAACATCAAACTTTAGTCCACTTTTATCTAATAGAGTGCAATATAAATTGTTAACCTTATCATTCCACAGTGCATAGACCGAGTCGTAGAGCTCTTTCGTCATCCCGTTCGTTTCCTCTTTTCGCTCCAAACATTGGATTATTCGACTCGCGTGTTCCTAAAAAAAATGATCAATAAATAAAAGCTTACAGAAATAAAAATATTCAGTTTACCGTATTTCCAGAATTCGCCAATGGCACTTTTACAATTTGGAGTCCGTTGATCAAGGCGCCCATTGACTGAAAATTTTAGTATTTCTTTAATTACTTTGTAGTTTTTATGATATCCACTTCTTCTTTGTTATTGAAAGCAATTTTTGTTTGGCTCAGCTTTTTTGTAATGATTTCCTCATGACGAAAAATCACCTGTATGACATTCGAATGGACGACCGTTCTTTTTTGTCGAGCCTCTTCGGGGGAGAAACCGTTGTCGTGGATAATTCTAAACAAATTAAATAACCTTGGAAATGTTTGAATATTTTTCAAGGTTTCAAGGTGATAAAGTTAGTTTAAGCTTAAGGCTTGCAGCTTAGAGTAAGTAGAATATGGATGATAGACAGGTTGGTCCGTACTTGTAAGAAGAACCCGACTCGAGGGCTTTGAAAGATGTGGCTAGGCTTATTTCTGATAGCGCTGTCGACTATGCAAAATTACATGAATACTACAATCACATTGGCTTAAAAATATCGATAACTTTTAGAATCTAAGCATGGTTTATTTCCACTAGTGCTGGAGTTACTTGTACGTTCAATATAGATAAGGGATAAATGTCTAGACTGTTTCAAAACGAATCATTTTAGATCTGACTTATCATTGGTATGATATGGTGGATTAACTGATAACTGATATGGCGGATTAACTGAACTAGCCAGAAACAAGAATTGAGCTTGTTTTCTGGCTAACCTAGACTAGTTAGGGGATGGCATTAAAAATAGAATAAAACCCACTTCATTTGCTTCAGCACTGTGCTCTTCCCACTCTCGCCCGCGCCTAAAATGCCAGTTTTGTAAGATTTACGATTTTTGGATACTCTTGCAAAAATTGGACTTTCACTTGTTTCCAGTTTAAATATTTGTCGTAATTTTTTTGACCAAGCCGACGATTCAGAACTAAATTACCGTGGGAAACAGAGCACCTTCTATGCAGGAAATTTTCGTTTTTACTTGTCGACGAGAATATGGTCGTTCTATGGGCATTTGATAATTTGAGAAAGTAAAACTTTCAGTACAGAGATCGATAAGCACATTGCTTAAGTGCTTAAGCACACAGTGAAAAGAAATCCTCACCTAATAACAAAAGTTTTATGACGAGCTCGTCCGTTCGGCGATCTTTCTCGATGATGGCGTTGATTTTCTGGAAATTAGGAAAACAATTTCTTGCTTCAGAAATCTTTGATAGTGACCAGGTAAAGTTTAATGGTAAACTATTGAGTGCGAAGATAAACTTCGACAGTTTATCACTGTAATTTCAACTAAGTTTGCTTCTAACGCGTTTTGAGCAAATTCTGTTTGATCAAAGCAAAAGTTATACAAATTGCTCGTCAAATCTGACACTTTCGTAAAGCTTTTACAAAACTCCTTGTTTTTCAAACGGAGAAAACTACTTTTCAAACTACTTTGCGAGAATTTCTCAATTTCAAACTTATAAAGCTCTATCTTTCTGCCCAAGAATCCCTCAAGTTGTTGATATTTTAATACAAACTCTAAGCTAATTGTTTTCTTGAATACTGATCGAAGATAAACTTCGACAGTTTATATTTTAATACAAACTCTAAGCTAATTGTTTTCTTAAATACTGATCAAAAAAAATCCCCACCTGATTCCTTTTATTCGAATCAGCATGCTCACTATTACAGTTGCCCATATCGTCAGCCAAAAAGTAGCTCCTCTTCAGTGAGTGAAAGGCTAAAATGAATCGATCAACTTTTTTTCTTCTAAAGAATCGACTAGAGAATTGACTCAAAAGCACCTGTTTGAAAAGCCGACAAAATTTCAAGTGGTAATTCTATCGATTGGTGAAAGATTCGTTTTGCTGGAAAGAGAGCCTTTTCGAGAAGCCTTTTCGAGAAGATACCGACGTTGCACTCACTAAAAGAGTTGAAATTAAAAAAAAATAAGCTAAAAATGATTCCAATTATGAAAGTTACATAAAAGAATATAAACAATATCTTAAACTAAAAAAAATCGATCCTAATGAGGGAGGGTACCTATTTGATTCAAAAATAACCTTTTATGAATGAAGAAAACAAACAAATCAGAGAGCGATTGAAACGTTTTTGCCATGATTTCTGGATGCGAATGAAATGGTGAAAGGAAAACAACGTTTTTATAACATTTTTTTAAGTATAAAGGAACCTGCTTAACGAGTTCGGGCAAAATTTTCTGACAGTCTGCCTCGCTCCTCGATTTTTTACTGCCCAAAGCTCCTTCAAGCATAAAACCCAGTACCCCCGCAAGCCCTTATTTTAGGCTTTATTTTGATACTAAACATGGCTAGATTCTGTTTTGCCATTCTTTAGATTTCGATCATTTTAGATAAAAAATTTTCCTGGACTCGTTAAGCTTATCAAGTTCGGCGAAAGATTGATCGAAATCTAAAGAATGGCAAAACAGAACCTAGCCATATTTAGTATCAAAATGAAGCCCAAAATAAGGGCTTGCGGGGGAATAGGTTCCATGCTTGAAGGAGCTTTAAGGAGTTAAAAAAATCGAAGAGCGAGGCAGACTGTCTGAAAATTTTGCCCGAACTCGTTAAGCAGATCTACAAAAGAACACTGATTCAAATATTTAAATAATGTGCTACTAAAATTGATTTTTAAAGTTTCTCCCAAATTAACTAACAAAAATTAATCCAATAAATCGATCAAATCCAATAAACGTTGAAACGGAAAACTTTTCAAAAAAAATTCTAACATTCAGATTGAAATCTAGATCATTTTTTTGAAGGTCGATTTTCCAAAAAAATTTTTAGATTTAAATCTTTTCATTGAAATTAGACAAAAGTTCAAAAAGGATTTCGAAGTGGTCATTTTCCTGAAAAATGTTTCAGAAACATGTGTGGGAATTAGATATGGGCCGCGAGTCAAGTCGGACTCGATTCGAGTTGATTTTTTTCAAAATGCTGATGTTTAGTGGGAATGATTTGTTTCAGTATTGAAGAAAAATAGGGTGAAGTCGTGGAAAAGCACGAAAATCGAGATGTCTGGGAATGAAGAATTGGAGGAATCGGTAGAGGAGATCAAAGGTTTGAGAAAAGAAGGAAAAAGAAAAGAAGGAAAAAGAAAAGAAGGAAAAAGAAAAGAAGAAAAAATTCAATTGATCCGGAATTTTTCAAATAATCTTTGTGTTTCTGGGAGTTAAATGTTAGAAGTCGAAATCCAGCGCTGAAAGAATGAAGATGGGAATGCGCATTCACAGGTTCAGAAAATGTATAGCATTTCTATGGTATACTTTAGAAAATGTGAACGTACTAAAGATTTTGAGATTTTTTTTCTTTAGCTAACTTGGGAATTTGATACTTTTGCAGCTTTTGATACCCATTATTTTTGATTTTTCGTTTTAATTGTGCAAAGTTTGCTTGTGGATATTGTAAAAATTATAATCTAATCAATAAAATCCTGATGAAATGTGGCGTGTATTTTGTTTTGAAAAAAAGTTGATGAGCGACTTTGAAGAGAAATTGGGGGAAAGGAATTTTTGGGCTTAATTAGTGGGTAGTATGAACAGAAAAAGTGAAAAAGAGGGGGCGAAAGGGACATTTAGAAATGAAAGAGCGAATCGAAGGAATACGAATCAATTTCGACTCATTCAGAAACACCGAAAATTGAGCTATGTTTTGCAGAAAATGGAAATGGAGATGAGACAGAGAAAGCTGCAAAATGCAAACCCCGCTGGCTTCTTGGATTCTGGAAGCCAGAGATGAGACAGAGAATGCTGCAACGCAAACCCCGAGCGGCTGGCTTCTTGGATTCTGTAAGCCAGAGATGAGACTGAGAAAGCTGCAATGAAAACCCCGAGCCGCTGGCTTCTTGGATTCTGGAAGCCAGAGATGAGCCAATCAGAGCTAGATCAAATGTTAGACAAAGCTTAGTCTAACTTATCTGATTTCATAGCAAGATTTCGCAAAGTGATTCAATTTTTGATTAAATTAACGAAAAATTTCACATACTTTACGCAGTTTAAGTGCGAAATTCTTAAGAAATCTCACCAAAACACAATTAATATCGTCTGTTTTCACAAGAACGATTCAGAGAAGCCACTAAAGAACAAGAAAATCTTATTTTTTTTTCAAGATCTATAGCTTTTAAATTTCAAAGTGACAACTTTTCCTTAAACAGATAACACTTTTGTAATATTAGAAAGCCCATTTACCGTCTTTTTCTTCAATCTTAAAGACTTTTTTATCAAAAAGAAAACTTTCAAAATTCTATAAATTAGTAGCGTGTCGAGCTCTCAACTTTGGAAGGCTATATAAAAAAAGTTGAAAGCTTAAATCGATTAGTTAATGGGCATCGCTTTAGGAGACATACTAAAGATTTACCACCAGAAAAATCAGAATGATTGACCCAATTTTGGCGTATCTAGGCCCACTGAAATGCGGCGCTATAACTCTGTTCTATAGTTCGATAAACGCAATTAAAACTTTTCCTCAAAACCTTATGGATGTGAATTTGCACAGATGAGCAACGAAAAAAACGAAATACAGAAATACGAAATGTTCAGCTTTTGATTAGGTTCTTAATTCAATTTTTAAAAAAAAACAAAGATTAAAATTAAAATAAGTACACGAAGAAAAATATAAACCGTACGCAATTAGAAGTACTCAAACTTGCATTTAGTAGAATTTTTAGAATTCAAATCCTCCAAAAAAAAGTCAAAAACATCAAAGGGACAAAGTGTGGAAAAGTTTTCATCCAAAATTTTGTAGCCTCTCTTTTTTTTTTTGCCAAAAATTCTCTGCTATTTCGTATTTCCGTACATTTCATTTGTGCAAATTCACACTTTTTTCATGTTTTTTTTTCTTAAAAAACTTTTCACATAATTGAAAAATCTGACGCACTGATTATTGAGAAATTCGGGTCCAATTTTCACCTTTCCCTTGATTTCATTGAACTTATCGACCGATCTTATCGACCGATCTTATCGACCGATCTTATCGACTATCGACCGATCTTATCGACCGAACTTATCGACTATCGACCGATCTTATCGACTATCGACCGATCTTATCGACCGAACTTATCGACTATCGACCGACCGACTATCGACGATTATTGAACGAAACTATCGACCAATTGGTAGATCGTTTGTAAAATTTGAATTTTGAAAAGTTTTAGATTCAAATTTTACAAACTATCTACCAATTGGTCGATAGTTCAGTTCAATGAAATCAAGGGAAAAGTGAAAATTGGACCCGAATTTCTCAATAAATTTCTCAATAATCAATAATTGAATCTAAAACCTTTCCAAATTCAGATCTATATTCCAAATTGCAGGAATTTATTTAAATTTTAGTGCTTATGAAGTAAGGGAAACTGTTTTTGTGGTATGAAATTTGAAATTTGAAATTTAGTACGGATATGCGCCAGCTCTCGGGACTCAGAGATCCAGTGGAAGTGATTGAGAGAAAAAGACTCAGATGGGCCGGCCACGTAGCCAGAAGAACAGACGGTAGATGGACGATACGGATCACAGAGTGGCTACTACGAGACCAAAAGAGGCCCATCGGAAGACCAGCAACGAGGTGGAGCACAAGAGTGCCAGAGACGGTCAGAGAAAGGATGGCTAGAGTGCAACCACCAGCAGCACCAGCAAGTCGAAGACTTCGAACCAGGAACAACCAAGATAGGAAACACTGGATGGCAATAGCAAGGGATAGAGAAGTGTGGAAGCAGGTTGTGATCTGCGCAAATAGGAACACCTGAGTGCGAAGACAGATCAAAGAAAAAAAATTTGAAATTTTTGACGAATGAAGGCAAACCGGGAACTCATAGAGCAACTTCGTTAACGAGAAAAGAAAAAGAAAAAGAGGAAAAGTTGATTGAAAAAAGAATTCTCATAACGAGAGAGAGCGATTATGATTCGATTAAGAAAGAGAAAATATGTGTAAACGATATTTAAAGTCCAGTTTAAACAGCTTTGAAAAAGCGGTGATCATTTGAGAAAAGTTTGCTCGGTGCTCAAGAATGGAAACGTTTCCCGTCTGGCGCACTGGATTCATCTTTTTTTCTTCACAAACAACTAAAAAAAGTGCATAATTCAGTGCTCTAGAAGATGTATGTTTTCATTGTTGAGCTGAGAACAAAGAAAAACCTTAGACTGCTTAGAATGGTAGCTTGAGTACGCGAAAAGGGATATGATTTGAGGTTAAAGTGAACGCGAAAAGCAAATTGCAAAAGTCAAAATCAAATTTAAGTCATAAACCGAAAGGAAATCAAAACAAATCAAAAGAAACAATGATATCTAAAAGGTGACATCTAAAGAGTGACAACTTCAAGCTCAAGCAAAGCTTTGGAATCCACTAAAGCCTAGGTGACTCTACCAAGATCTAATTTCAAATCAATACAATATGAAAACGTTTCCCGTTTGGCGCACTGAATTCATCTTTTTCCTTCACAAACGACTAAAAAAAGTACTTAATTCAGTGCTCTAGAAGATTTATGTTTTCATTGTTGAGCTGAGAACAAAGAAAAACCTTAGACTGCTTAGAATGGTAGCTTGAGTACGCGAAAAGGGATATGATTTGAGCTTCAAGTGAACGCGAAAAGCAAATTGCAAAAGCCAAAAGCAAATTGCAAAACAAATTTAAGTCATAAACCGAAAGGAAATCGAAAGAAACAATGATATCTAAAAAGTGACAACTTCAAGCTCAAGCAAAGCTTTGGAATCCACTAAAGCCTATCAAGATCCCCGCAAGAGCCTACCAAGACCAAGATACCAAGAGCCTACCAAGCCTACCAGCCTACCTACTAAAGCCTGACTCTACCAAGATCTAATTTCAAATCAATACAATATGAAAACGTTTCCCGTCTGGCGCACTGGATTCATCTTTTTTTTTTTCACAAACAACTAAAAAAAGTACACAATATCGATAGAGGAAAAGTTTGAAATCAAAAGAATTAAAAGAATTAAAAGAACCAAACCTCTTTTATGATGGTAAATGAAAATTCGTCTCATTAAGCTATGCCAAATGCACAAAAAATTACACCTGTTTACATCAAAAAGTAAAAGCGCAAAAAAAAAAGTATTTCCAACTTACACCTTTTGAAATTAACTTTCGTAAA